AAAAAAAAAAAAAAAAAAAAAAAAAAAAAAAAAAAAAAAAAAGTGTGCATATTATAGTATATATAGTATAATATATATAGTATATATATAATATATAGTATATATATATAATATATATAATATATATATATATATATAGTATATAGTATATATAGTATATATATAGTATATATAGTATATATGTATTTATATCTAGGCAGAACTAAGACATTGGTCTTGAGGAGTCTGGGGAAAAGCACCAAACGTCAGGAGCCAGAGGAGAGCGTCCAAAGGAACCTATAAGAAACAGATGGACACATCAACTCATTACATAACTTTTTCTCCAAACGACAACATCAATTATGCCCACACATGAGACTCATGAACATGATGTTTTTGTTTTGCCTACAGCCATTAGCCCCCTGCTGCTAACGCTCCTACCACACAGTGCTGCATGTATCAGCCACACCGGCAGTCCTTGCACTACACACAGTTTTGAAGCAGCTTTCTTGTCCATGTTGGTCACACACCCACCCCCCCCCCCCCCCCCCCCCTGGTGAATATACTCTATGCTGCTGGCGCACACTTTGCTGTGCACTTGTGCAATACTGTTTGGTGCGTGGCCATTATAACAACAAAAAGGTAAAGCTCTTCTGTTTCTTCTGACAATTCTACTTCAATATCTGAACTAATCCTTTGCTGACCCTATAGTAAACTTATCCTTATATTGAAACCAACCACTGTCCACCCTCTAATGCTAAAGGTGAGCAGTGTTTAACACACTGTGTTAAACACTGTGTGTTAAATTTAATTTAACACACAATTTAATTGTTAAATTCAATTTGAAAATGTGTCTCTTTTGGGTTTATTTTCCCATGGACCCTCACTCCTCTCAAAACATAAACACCGTTGTTGTCGGTAGATCAGTGCAACCGATTATTAATCAATTGGACTACAATAAAAACAGATGGTGGTGCAGAGTCCTCAGGAAGGGATAACTGTCCTTAGCATATTACTCTGAAAGTCCAAGCTCCTTCTAAGAATGAGTTTCACAGGCTTAACCCCTTGGACTGCTCGCCATTAGTGCAAGAGTATATGAATGCCTTTTAAGAAAGAGTCGGAGCACTCCTGAAAATAATTAACTGCAATCTCAGTACCTGCAGTTGTCTAAACAGTGAGGCATGCTCTCCATTAGGGCCAGCATAGAGGAATAAAAAGGCTTTGATGGCAGAATTAAAGCAGTCTGGAAAAACACAGCGCTCTAGAGGTTTGTCACCTTGATTTGGGGTCATTGACAAAAAAAATAAAAAAAGATTATTTAACAAAATAATGGATCACGTGGGGTTATATTCAACGTTGCTAAATGTTGATCGCCTACACAAAGGGGGAAAGACTAAACCTCTGCTGGTGGGGTGTCCCCGGGACAAAACCTTGTTCACACTGAACAGAAAGTCTTAACGTTAAGATTATTATTTTTTTTTATAGACGTGCTGTTGTGGCCACAATGTATAAATCAACTCGAGATGCTGACCACGGCTTATCAGGGGCCTTGTGGGCAAAATAAGCAACGTTATTTTGTCTGCATCGGCTCGTCATTTCTTTTTGTGTGTGTCTGTTTTGGTTAACTACTTCTTCTCCGAACCCATGCACATAACACACACACACACACACACACACACACACACACACACGGTTAGAAGAATAAAGCTAACGCTACTAACGGCGATTCACCATAAACTGCCAGCGCGTGTGGACTTTGACAAGCTAGAAGAAGAAAAAAAGAAGAGAGTTGGTTTTCCCTCCTGGGTGTCATTTGTTGTGAGCTACACGTACTGTGAAAATATTCAGGTTTCTTTTGTCTCGAAATGACTGAAAGCCCCCCCTCCTCTTTCCTCCTCCCCGCGCCTCCACGCACACACACGCACACACACACACACACACACACACACACACACACACAA